TCCCAGCAGATGGCATTATGTTACAAGGAAACATTACCCCGGTGCCAGTTGCCTTCCCCTCAGCTCTACAAGTTCAGAGGGGAGTCTCAAAACTTCTCTACACTTGGGCATAACCTTACCTTCTTCTTGCTCCTGTGGTTTTTCCAAGCCTAGCATAGAGTCATTACATTTCAGCTGGGTGGAAGTGTGGAGGAACAAAGCCAGAAAGAGATAGCAAAGCTTTATGTGACTTTTATCTTCATTCTTGTAGCTCTGTTTCAAAAGCCCTTACCTCCCTGTGCTTCCTGAGGCCAGAATAACCTTGATGTCAGCACTGGCACTGTATATAAGAGGCTGATAATAACCGTTGTCTCTCCTGGTATGCTGTAGTCTGTCTTTTCTAGGAGCCAGACACTAAGGCAAGAGTAAATTCAATGCTGAAACACCTCCAAATTCAGATGCCAGTGGGACATAAAAGGTTTAAGCACAGGCATGTGAATGCAGTTGTCTGTAGCTCAGTGAGAAACAATCCAGAATGGCAGACCCAGACCCTGGGGGTTTCCAGACTTGTTAGACAATGAGCTAGGGATGCAGGTACAGCAGCCCCACAGAACTGTTGCCACTGCTAGCACTAGTACTCAGTCCATCCTCAGCTGCCCTTCCCTCCCTTTTCCCAATTTCCTGCTGTTCCAGTTCTTCTTTGTCTTCAGGACTTCTGCATGGCTGGCTTTGTTTCTGAGATTAGAAATCGTATCATGCAGATGGAGGAAAGCCCTGCTGTGTCCCAGGCTACAGAGGAGGTTACAACAGCAGTCCTTAGCTCAGTCCATGCTCTTGTATGCTACTGAGTCATGCTGTACTGTTGTGCCCAAGCACAAGAAGGTGGACTTACTACTATGAAAAGCTGGTGATAAGTCCTGTGACCCAGTAGTTCAGGGCCATACGCAGATCCAAGGGTCTGCCAGTGTGAGATGTAATTCACATCTATTACAGAGCTGCTGACCATGAAGCATCTAGCTCCCTAGTGACTGTAGCCAGGTAAAATCAGTAAGGAGCAGGCATCAGTGAAGAACTGGAATTAGCAGAACCACTTAAAAAGGAAAATATTTGAGCGTAATCAATCCGTTCAACTGTGGAAGATGTATAAAAGCAATGAGATCAAGTTAATTCTGGTTCACTAGATAGAGCTTCTTCAGGCTCTGCTTTGCTTGGCACCCTGCTAGGTTGTATACACAGCTGTATTAATGCATTTATATGTTTAAGAGCCCTTATTCGATATGTCACTAACTGTTCCCTGTTTAATTGTTGGAGCGGTGCCTTTTCTGTGCATGAGATCCTGGCTTTTGATAATTACTCTTTCTGACATGAGCAGGAGTTTCTCTATCACTCTATTGCTCTCAAAAGAGCTGGCGTTTCAATACCTTTTTCTTTGCACCCAGACACAAACTGATCCGTATTTAATCATTGTTTTGTGTGTGTAAAGAAGCATTACTACTGTGCCACAAGAAATCTGGAGAACCTTCGTTCATTATGGAGTGTACACTTGACGGTGATACTAGGAACATGGACTAAGCAGAAGCTAGCCAGACATTTTAAGAAAGAAGTCCATTTTATGTTAGGCAGTACGGGCAGACCATTAAGTGTCTTGTGCCACCTGCTGGCAAGCACCGCAAATTACAGCTTCCCAGGGACAGTGTCGGCTCTTAGCTGGAATGTGGAGCTCAGGTGCTCAGGGTGATGGAAAAATCCTGACAGCAGAGGTACGGAGCTATGTGCTGACACACCGAGCTGTGCAGGGCAGCTTGCATCCAGCAGAGCTCACATCCGACAGAGCTTATGAATTCCAGTGTCTGCACTGTGCTCTGCAGCCTGCTGGCAGGATTTAGTTGCTCAGATAAAACACTACAAAAACTATATTTTTCTGGGGCCTCTGCACACTTTGGCTGATTCCTTGCAGGCCCATGATCATGTCCATGTGGTGTTCTTTGTTCTGGTGTTGCAAGGGGTCAGGGCTTACTCTCCTGGGCTGTACAGGCTGTGGAGGGCTGCTTGCCTTTTCCCATCTTTCAAGTTTCCCCTTTGAGGTTATGCTCCCAGCCAGGATTTGTCACAAGCTGAAGGAGGCCACCTCTTTTCAAAAATCTGTGCAGTATATTGTATTTATATGTCACAGATCAGCATCCAAAACAGATAAATAAACATGGGTGTATTATTAGCAAGTGCTTGATATACTAGGACTTGGTCCAGAACCCACTGAAATTGGAATTTTTCCCTAGGCATTTAAAGAAAACAGTTGTGCAGGAAAAAAAATCATCAAGATTAAGTCAAACATCTACTCAGTGTCTGTGACATGCTCTATCACTGAATTATTTCCTAACTGATTAGCAAGTTCTCAACTCAATGTGAAAAAGGCAGATAGAGGATTGCTATTAAAACCTCCTCCCCTCTTTCCAAGCTGTGAGCAAGTAAGGAACACAGCCTTCTGGTTTGCAGCCCTCTTACCAGAAGAACAGAGTCATAGGAACTCATCAGAGAAAACGCTGACATTTTTTTTCCTCTTCCTTCTTCTTAAAGTAATTTTTTGCAAAGACAAAAGGTCATGAGTGATTACAAGGGTATAGGTACCAAGTGCTGCGGGTGATGAAAGAGGATCCATGAGTGTGCTGGTTTTGGCCGGGATAGAGTTAATTTTTTTCATAGTAGCTAGTATGGGGCTATGTTCTGGATTTCTGCTGGAAACAGTGTTGATAATGCAGAGATGTTTTTGTTACTGCTGAGCAGTGCTTACACAGAGTCAAGGCCTTTTCTGCTCCTCATGCCACCCCACCAGCGAGTAGGCTGGGAGTGCAC